AAAGATAGATAATTTATATAATGACTTTATATATTGGGATAATACCAATAGTAATCTAATAATCTAATTAAAAACACCACATTGTTCATTATTATAGATTAAAGCAATGGTTCCAACCATTTAGTCTCCTCTTTATAAAAGAAATATAACATTTTAAGATGGAGTTGGGAGTGGTTCTTTCTAAAACTATTGGATAATTTCTAATAAAAACCTGTCTGAACAAACAACAGAGGTAAAGCATATTTAAGTGCATGAACGAGCTTAAAGTAAGTGGTATGTAAAAAGTAAATCACATGTAACTGTTTACATATGTTGTGTTCAAATGATTTGGAAATAGTTACCTGGCAGAATTTTACTGGATAAAACTTTCCTAAAATGTGCTGAAATGAGCACTGAAATGTGCTCATGTGTCAGGTTTCTGAATTATGCATGAGACTGAGTCTGAATTCAATTACAGTTCCTGGGACTAATGTCATTTATTCGTCACTCAAGTAGAAACCAATTTAAAACCACACATCAATTTAAGTATGTGTAAGTTGCTGTACTGTGAATTTGTTCATCTTAACAAATACTTTTAGTATTTAGATTAAGATCAAGTGATTGTTTTTTGTTAAGAAGACCAAAAGTCTCTTAAACTGCTCTTCATCCTCCACCATCCATCCACCCTGCAGATCGACATTGTAGCTCAAGATCACTAGGGGGCACGGTCGAGGCTGAAATAAGCGGTGAGGAAAGCGACCTCAGAACATGCAAAACAGAAAAAGGACCAAAAAAAGCATCACATGTAGATTATTCATTTTAGAGTTGCGCTATTGATTATCTTGCCATATCAGGGGTGCAAAGTAAATCTTTTAAAGCTCTAAATTATATCTGCAGAGTATTCCTGCACATTTTGCATGGCATGCTTTGAAAAGCAAGACCTTTTAAAGTTACTACCAGATACCAGCTTTCTTCAAACACTGAACTTTCTCATGTTATTTTTTGATCCGCTTGATGACGCATTTCCAAAACAAAACGTAAGAATGGCTGTTACCTCTTGTTAGATCATACTTCATACTCGTCTTTTCTTGACTCAAACCTCAGGGCCGATATGTGAAGTTCAGCAAGTTGATTGGTCAGTTCCTCATCACTTCTTAGAAGCAAAGGGAGTTTTTGTTTACTTTATAAAACCTCTAGAGAAAGAAGCTATTCTAGTTTTCCCAAGTCGGCAGGACTCACACCAAACCCACACTGAAGTGATAACACTGACAGCTCTGTATCAGCAGTCACAAGTGGTTGATTGCTCATGATAGCATTTTTTTTATGTAGCAAACAAGCTGTGCAAATTTATTGAAGACATTTAATTATTTTGACCCTCTTGCACATGTGACCTCTAAGAATATTTTGTGCATTGAACTCAATAAATTGTCGTTTTTTCGAGTTTTTTTTTTTGTGAAATGTGTGAGTGGTGAGTGAGTGTCATTAGCTGAAATGAGGAACTGGTCATGCGGTATCTAAGCTTATCATCAACTTTGTTCTGACTGAGGTGTTAAAGACATTTGTTGGCAGGAAGTTACAGTATGGGTCTAAAAATGAAAAAAGGAAAGAGATAAAGAAATAACACGAACTCTGTCATCTTTATATTGCTCTTGTCTTTTGACTCCAAAAAGTCAGTCTATTAAAATAAAAAGACATCATTTTTGCGTAAATGAAATCAATTGTGCAAAAAAAAAAAAGGAATAATAAACAATTATTCTCCTGCAGCAAGATATTTACTCCTAAAGAGCAAATACCCACATATGACTGTTCATGCTTAAGTGAAAGAAGATGTGAAAAGCTTGTGTGAGTCAAGCAGTTACTCAGTTTCAAATTTAGTTTGAGGAATCACTATTGGTAGGAAAGTGAAAAAAGTTGCGAGTGCCGATAAAAATTCAGTAACTTTATACATACGTAATAGTATACTGCCAATGTGCACATACTGCATATGTACTTTTTATTTAGAGTGCAAAAAGTGTGTGTGATGAGGAAGAGTGTATGTGGGGTTTAGAAGTCTAAATATAAGTGATTTTGTAACCAGAGGAGGTTATTTGATTGCGTGTTTTGACTCAACACTGTAGAACAGACTAGAAAGAGTCTAGCTCAAATTAGTTTCAGTACCATAACAGGACAGATCAGGAACTTTTTATTGAAAAAAATTTTTTTATTTCTTTTATTTTAAACTCGTGTTCTCAGGTACAAACTGAACATTTCAATAAAGCTTTTCAAAATCATGAAAGTGAGAGTTTACTGTATATTTTAAGGGGGAAATATCTGTAACCTCATCTAATCTAATCTAATCTAATCTAATGTACATTTATCTAACAAAAAGATGTGAAACTCTACCCACTCAGGAGATGTGGGCGTTCTACATGTTATAACACTGAATGATCATTATTTGATGACATCTTCATCACGCCCACCTTTCAAGTGACTGCAGGAAAATATAAAGTATGCGAAGAAGCAGCTCAGAACACATAATGCTTTAAATCAGAAAGCTGTAAAGCTGGATTCAGTGCTGATGGCTTTAGGACGTAAATATGTGGTGTATCCCGAATGTGATACTGAGAGGCGGAGGTTTCAGGAGCCTGTGGTAAAGCCACATAAATAAAAATTTGCCATTATCTGAAGGGATGTGGTTGGTTAACTGCTTAAACGTTGGCTGGCAGATCTTGATAAGGCCTTATCGCAAAACCAGAATATGTACTGTCAAGATTTTTACTTTGTTTTGTCATAACTTTCGCCATCCTGAAATAATTACCGTTTTACACGTAAGCCAGAAATTTGTTGCCAGAAACTTACTTATTTCTTACTTATTATTGTGACTTGCTTACTCATTAGAACAGTTTTTAATGTTTTCTGTGTCCTCGGAAACAAAAACATGAATCATACTTGTCATTTCTGAATTTCATAAACTTCTAAACTAAACCAAAAGCCTCCACTGCGTCTTCCTTCTGCACTTAGGCTTTTTTCGCAAGAAGTGTTGCAATCCGACAGCATGTTTTTAGAGCTTGTCATTTAAAACAGCTGATTATGCATTTGACGTGAAGGTGACATTAAATGCTACTGTGGACAGAAAAGGGGAAATTGAACTCGTCACAGAGGAAACTCCCACAGACTTCTCGGCTGGCTGACTAGAAGGAAGCCACAGTGAGAGAAGGACAAAGGAAAAACAGCCTTCACAATCTATGGTAGGTAAGTGAGCCATTTATTTTATACACCCTTGCACTGTGTTGGAGATCATGGGTGAGCTAGGAAAGGGGTGAATGCTTGCCTCTCACAAGTGCTACTTTTTCACAGCTAGAAAATCATGTTGCTATATTATTTTAAAAGTTAATGACCTCTGATGTGTGAGCATCAGCCCTATTTAGAAATAATGATAAAAATCCACAAAAGTCAAATGCACAGGTTTGCTTTTTGGGCTTCATCAGAGCTCATTTTAAAATGTGTTGAGCTCATGAAAGCGGACATGAATTCCCAGCATATGTCATCCTGTGACTTCTTCTCCTTTGATTTGCTCAGAATTTTCACAATCAGATGAGAAATTGGCTGAGACTCTTCAGAAACATGCGCACTTCTCTTTATGAACGCTTAAAATATCGCCCAGAAAATACAGTGAGTGTACAAAATGAAAAAAATAGCTTAATACAGTAACATACAGGTGTTTCCAGGTGCTGTGGGGTTTTTTGTTTTGGGTTTTTTTTTTTTACATTTACATTTTTTACTTGTGCTATTTTCTGAAAATCATTCTGTCTTTGATTTCAACTCAACTGATGGTTTCCACTTCTACAGTGTGGCCTACTGCACCTCTGACAATAACAGGTTGACAAGGTTGTTTAGTTTCAGAGTGAATACTGGATTCCCACATTCTCCTGAACGGGGGTTCCCCCAACCTTCTACTGTAAACAGCAGCTCTAAAGGCAGAAGTAATGCCTGAGTGACCCTTAAAATCCCCCGTTGATATTCTAAAACAATGTACTGAAGTCTTTTTTTCCCTCATTTTTCTGTAACTTTATTACCATTTCAGGTTGCATTCACGTTTTTTATGATTGTACATCAAATTTTATTTAAACATGTTGAGGGATCAATTAAAAAAAATGACAAATGCATTTTACAAAATGTCATTTTGATTTAATTTGCATTTATTTGTCAAAAATGTACAAGGTTTTACTGTTTTTACATTGTCAAAAAAGTGGACGCAACATGAATCAATTGATTTTCTTCTTGCAATGTGGGTAAAAAAATTGATTTTTTTATTTTGTGTTTTTTACATTTAGTCATTGTACGGTGTTTACATCTCTTTAAAACATAAAAAACAGACATTTAAAACAAAAAGAAAATGCCCACCACCACCCCTCACTCATACACATATACAAACACCCACACATACGCACACAACTTAACCATACATATGTGTGGCGGTGTGTGATCCCCAGTGTGTTTATTTCTTTTTATCTGCGTCTATCACATGTGAGAAAAAGAGATAAGAGAGAGGCGGATGTGTGGTGACATCCCACAACAAGCAGACACTCAAAGCGGAAGAATGCTCGTAGTGTGGTTATGACTCATTTGTTCATTGTTTCTAGTAAATGAACTAATTCTTCTCCCCTCTCTCTCTCGCTCTGCCTCGCACACTGCCCTCTGCTCCGACTTGTCTTCAGACTTCTTGATGATATCAGTAAAAGCAGTTGGGCAAGTTTCGTGAGGGCAGCTCATAACAAAAGGGCCACCTTGCCCTCACTGGGCGCAATAATGGTGCCTCTCTTCTGGCTTCTGCTTTTGGCAAAGCTTCCTAAGCTGGCTCTTTTCTCCGGTTCAGATCGTTGTGTAATCCAGGAGATCAACAACTCACAAAATGGTAAATATATGCCCGGTGTAATCCTTCAAACAACTACATTTTTAATTGTTTTTCATTTTTATTGTACTTTCATTTTAAAATACAGTGACTTTTGCATATTTAGCTTATAATAGTTTTTCATGCAAATCGTGCCATAAGCACCTAAAATCTGATAAAGGTTCTGAGGAAAAGTAAAGCAAAATGGCTAACTGTCATATGAAATGTATTTTGTTATGAAAGGTGAAGTGCAAGAATATCTTAACTGTTTTTTTTATATAATTATAATCATTTTGAGTTGAAGATGACTAAAGATTACAGGAATACAACAAAGCGACTGCCCGATTACCTAAAATGCTTTTCTTTTTCTGCTCAGTGTCTTCAGTACTGGAATCATTACAATGCCATAATAACTACATGTCCCATGTCCACTGCAAGTGGAGGCAACACATAAACACACAGTTGGAGCTCTGGGTCGATACAGGATCTGGAAGGTAAAAAAAAAAAAGGGACAAAAGACGTGAAGAAGCAAACAGAAAAAAAAGATACATGGGACGCCTTTTTCAAGGAATAACTCTGTGTTCATGTCCTTGCAGGGAGGTGAAGTGTGAGCCATTTGATCCTAGAGATGCAGCTAAGCACAGGGATGTCCGCTGTAGATATAAAGCCAATGCATTTGGCATCGGCTTAAAACACACCGCCTTCTTCCTCCAAAACAAGACTTGTCTCTCCTCCTCCTCTGTCCAGCACAAGACTCTTCATCTTTTACAGCACCGTGAGTTTAACATTCATTCTGTTGTGCTTCCTTTAGCATTCAAGTGAAACTAAACACTCAGGGATGTTGTGCGCGTTTGCATTTTTACAGTGAAAGCACTCCCACCAGCGAATCTCTCCACGCACGATGCAGCTGATGGTGGCCGAAAGCTCATTTGGTCCAGCCCCTACCCTCCCTCCTCATCCCTGAACAAAAACCTCACCTATCAGCTCAGCTATAAGACGCACAGAGAGGACAACTGGGTGGTAAGCATCGCACATGCAAGCTCATAACTGGATTGAAAATGCCTCATCTTTGTAGCACGTAGGTTTAACTGAAAGGTCGAAAATAGAAACCGAGGTAGCATTTAACACTCTTCATACTTCCTTGCAATATATTTAGCAATAATAATGAAACCAGTGACCTGATGCCTATAAATCACATTTTAGATTTCCTCTCACAGGAAAGCTTCAAACCTACGAGACCCTCGAGTCAGAAGCCTGGCAGCTTTAAAGAAATAGAAAAAACAGATTAGGATACACCTGGGGAGGTTCTGAATTCAAACATAAGCATACTAACACATTCACAGTTTGGATTTAAACAAATAACGCAAACATACATTTACATTCTAGGTAGCTAAAAACCTGGAAAATAAAATAAGGATGCACATAGAACTCAGTAGCTGATCCAAATACTTTTTTAACCTTGAATAAATGTCAATAAATAAATATTCCATAAGCCACTCACAACACCTGATTCTCTTTGCAGACTGTGAATGTCACAAACACCAGTATGACACTTGAGAGGCAGCTGTTGCGTCCAGGTCACAGGTATGAAGCCAGAGTGAGGGCCTGGGCCAGCATGGGCCTGTGGAGTGACTGGAGTCCTGTGGTGACCTGGCACACTAAAGAAGGTAAATTAAAGAAATCGGTTCAACTTCAGCTCTGAATAAATTGGTTGGCATGTTTAATATATTGAATAATTTTGCACAAGTAGTGCCTTTTCCTTCTTAAGGAGACCCACACTCTTATCTGCTTTCCTCACATTTCTAATCTTCTCCCTCTGTCCAATTTTATTGGTTAGAGATAAGTCTGGGGCTTTGCAGCTGTTGTTATTAGCTCTTTTTTTCTCTCTTGGGCCACAGACTTTGGGCAGCTTCCCACTTTGCATTGTGTACTGGACGGAGAGAAGGAGGTAACATGTAGCTGGGAAGTGAGCAGAGAGCTGGCTCACATCATTACCTACCAGCTGGCCTGTCGACACAATGAGAGTGCGCCGTAAGTTGAGCGTGACGCTGGCAACACCACCTGGCTGGAAATGAAAAATGCACCTTCATCATTCGTCCATCCATTTGTCAGACCGTTCGTGTCATTTCCTCTGCTTTCAACCTCTGCTTTCAGGTTTGAGAGATGTTGTTTGAACCCAGCAGTCACTTCTGACCTCACCAGGATGATGCTGAGGTACAGCTGCACGCTGTCTGTCACAGACCCAGAACATCTGCAGCTGAACCTCCAGCCAACACACAGTGCCAAGAGTTTTAAACTCTACCAAAACAGTGAGTAAACATGTGACTGGAGCTACAGCATTCTGGTCGGGTGCTCCAACCTGGGAATAATTCTTGTTCTTCTAAATTCCAAATCCACACTCAAGGAGCGCTTAGAAAAAAGGGTCTTGCTTGAGTAGCCCCACCTACTGTTTAAATAGCACTATTGCACCCATTCCGTACCCAATAGACTGTGTACCCAATATATATGTATGTAGATAGATAGATAGATAGATAGATAGATAGATAGATAGATAGATAGATAGATAGATAGATAGATAGATAGATAGATAGATAGATAGAAATTCACAACATGATTCTGTCATGCACACACATGCACACAAACAAACAAGCACACACACACACACACACCAAACACACACACACCACACAACACACACACACACACACACACACACACACAGTAACTACACCCTGTGGGGCTTATTTATTGGCATAATGCATTCCCTAAAGTTAACCAATGAGCTTAAGAATGAATGCCTAATGGCTCAGAAGTGAAATCTAAAATCAAATTTTACCCTAAAATTTAATAATACCCTAAAAAATTAGCATGGGCTAATTTTAGTCTCTACAGTAATACAAGTCCTTACAGGTTGGTGGGCAGTAAGATTAAAGTCCCCACTTGGCAAGATAAACGAGTGCAGACACTAAATCACAAGGCAAAAGCGATACCACACACAGCTGTTAAATATGCATAAGACTTTCCACAATAACTTTAGCTATAAACGAACTTCTCTGCATTGCTCTTATTCCACAGTTCGTCCCAACCCCCCACAGCATGTAAATGTGACGGAAGAAGACAATAACTGGATCGTGAAATGGACCGAACCAAACAAGAGTCAAAAACACGGCCTGTATTATCAGGTCCTTTATTACAGGAAACAAGATGAGGTAAGAAGCCTTACTATCAGTGTTTGTTTTTTTTAATCTTGATGATTGCATTGGAATTCATTCCCATTAACTATAAAAGACGTACTAATTTAAAGGTGACGTAACTGAAAAAAATAACAAAAAATCAGGTACATATATATATTATTTATTGGGGTTTTTTTTAGAATTCTTCTACACTACTGGAAGTAAGGGATTTAACTTCTTGGACCATCCTTGGAAAATGTTTAGCCCCACTCCAGGATTACCAGGTCAAAGTTAGGTCATTGGTTGTCCCTGGATCAGGTTCAGAGTATAAAGGAACCCCATCAGAATGGACGGATCCTGTGGAGTGGACCACTAATGAAGGTTTGTGGGGTTTACTTTCAATATGTTTAAGCTTAAAACTTAAAAAAAAGAAGCATATCATGATTCATGTCATTCCCCCAATAACACGATCATTAATTCTGTTTTCCGCACCAACAGTCTGGTCCCCCACAACCTGGATCTATATACTTATCACTGTAGCAGTGGCTCTAGTCTTCCTCATTCTGTACCGCACTATTCCAGCTTGTCGAAGGTACATTATTTGTGTAAAGCAAAAATTAACTACTGCCATCAAAAGTATAAATAATGCATTTATTATGTTCTAATTTCATAAGAATGATTTTTTTTAAATGATAAATTAACCCTATTTGCATAAATTTTAACCACTAGGAATGTAATTGGGTGGGTGGACTCAGTTCCTTCTCCAGGAAAAAGCAAAATCCTGTCAGAGTTGATGGTAAGACTTGTTCAGTTTACAGTTTGCTGTTTTTTTTGCTACTTCTTTATCTTTATATAAATGTTGCACACTTGCTGTTTTTATATGTAAATGTGTTTCCTTTTTTCTCTACATCTATTTGCGATCCAGTCCCCCGGCAGTCGGACCCTTACGCAGACTGAAAAGCTGTATATTTGCAAAGTGCAACAACTGGACGTCTTATCTACATGGTAATATGTTTCACACTTGACCTGTCCGGAGGTCTGCACATTTTTTTTTTAGTAAAAGAAAACACTTTCAGCATCAGTGATACTCTATAGCTGTTCCCTTAGATAACTCACACAGACAGACCGTTCAGTGCTCCTGAATGTCACCAATCACTGGGCGTAGCTCCCAGAAAGTGAATTGCAAAATGACGAGCTGTTACATAAATCAATAAAATTCTTATTTTCTTCCCCTGCAGCTCATCACAAGCTTCGCTGTGGCCGACCAAGGACACAGAAAAAAAGTGCCTGGATCAGGATGAGGGTTGCTGGAGCTGTGATAACCTGCCCTCTCCTACTGAGGAGGTTAACGTCTCTGACACTTCTGCGATAAGCTTCACCGGGCCATACATCCTCTGTCGGGTCAGCTGCTCAGCAACTCTAACCAAGTCATTTGTCATGTGTCCAGAGCCTGAAAACCAAAAACATGAAACTCAATTTATATTAAACTAGCCTTAATCAATTTTGCATATCCACATACTGTATGGACAACTTTACTTAATAGTTTTCTTGCTAATAGTTAGATGAGAAGAACACACTTTACACACTATATTGTCTAGAATTTTAGATAATTTCTTAATTAGGTGCAATGATAGAAAGTCTCTGTTCCTATTAAAAAAACATCCCTGTAAGCTATATATGAACTAGATATAGCCACTGTGACACTGCCCACTGGTTTAACGACTGATAGCCTGAACCTTTGAGTTTTAACTGCAGCAGTTTTTGCATCAGTAAAAGCACAGCATGCAGTTCTGGCACTTTGTTTTTATTTTTTCCAGAACAGACACACAAAACAGAATGTCACCTATAGCGGTGATGGGAAGTGCCAGGTTAGCAGTTTCCCACTGATTCCGGTGTTTGTGCTAAGATTTTTGGCCGCTTAATTCACAGAGATGAAAGTTGTACCAGCCGTTTCATCGAAACAGAAAGTGAAGATGTAGATTCGTAGAAAAACACCAAACTGCGCCCTTCATGAATGTGTCAAATAAAACTGTGTTACTTGAATCTATGTATAGCAAACCATAAATGAGCAAACATCACTGGTAAAGATAGAAAGAAAAGAAAAATTAAGGCATTTGATTGAAGACTAAACAGCACTGTTTCTTATCTGACAGTCGCCGGAGCCAGCCCCCGAGTCAGTGAGTGTCAAGGATGAAGAGATGGACACAGAAGCCCCGTCAGATGGCTCTGCATCGCCTTCTCCTGTAAATTTCACTCTTTTCGGCGAAGGCTATGTGTGTCTGCCCAGACACAGCAACTCCAGATCCACACAGGACCTCATGTCCCACTGTGATGAAAACACGAGCACACACTGGTGTGACAGTGCTGAGCAGGACCAGAGGTGCAATGATCCAACACCATGGCTCGTTAACTCGGACATCAAGCCTGGCTTTAGCGAGCCCACCGTTGGGGGCAAACCGCCAGAATACACGCCGGGACCTTTCACCCACTGGCCTGAAGGGGCCACCGTACAGGCGTCAGGGTACTGCCACCTCCCCACAGCCTTCATGCAAGAGCAACGCGCTAGCCTGCATAATTCATAGGAAGATTTTATCAAAAGAGGACCTATCACTTTCTCTGCACACGAAACAACTTTCTTTTTGCATAAACTTTTCACTTTATTCTGAGTTACTGATGCTTCAATGTGAAAAAAAATTCCTTCTAGCATTTTTGAGAAGCTTTGTGCCTGTTTTTAATCTTAACTGACAAAGTGGCTCCATAGTGTAGTGGCTTATAGAAAAGGCGAAAGATCTCAGTTTTGATCCCAGAAGGAAATGCAAATGACTCTGGAGTTGTGTCAGGAAGAGTATCCAAAGAAAAATCAAATATACTGAAGTGTAGTTTAGTGTCTCACCATTTGAGGGCAATAGTGAGCCAAATTTTGTAGGTGGTCTTTAAGCTTATGAGGGATAGAATGCAATATTATGGGAAGCAAACTAAGCCTTTTCTTTGAACTTTTTTAGATAATTTCCTGGCATAGACGGGGATGGTATGTAATCCAAACGTAATCCAAAAAGCAGCCATGCAAAACAGCTTTCGTGATTTTCAATGCGTTCAATTTTTGTTCTGCCTGTGTCTAAGCGTTGCACCATCTTTTCAAATGCATGGCACCATCATTTTACTTGCCTGTGTAATCTTTCAGCGTAATGACAGCCTTTCACGCAGGATGTGCACATTTAGCCGCAGACTCTAAGAACTCAGTTGAAATTTAGTCTTCTTTTATTACTTCCTCTAATTCCTTGTTGCCTTCACAGCTGAAGGGACGCAACTATGTGAACTTCACATCGTGGAAACAGTGTGTGCTGTACGTTTGCCAACTGTAACTTTCACTGTGGTCATGTACAATATGCGTGTTTTGCACAGAGGTGTCTGAGTTGAGACCTTGTTGTCAGTGTTGTAGCCTAAGTGTTGCCAAAGGTGTGTAGAATATGCCATCTGCATTGTGATGTGCTGATTGTGCTAAGATAAGCATAACCAGTGCCGTGTGCAAAGGTTTTAGTTTAGAACTGACGTCAGCAAAGGCACAGAGACGTAAATCTAAACACATAAAGTCTATTTTAATGTAGGTAATGGCAATTAAAGGTGAAGGAGCACAACTCTGCCTGTAAATACAAAAGAAGAGAAAATAAGAAACGTTGGGCTGCCAAACTATGTAATATATATATATTATAAATGCACTCTGTCTGTGGATGATCTTTATGCTGAAGGAAATAAACTTGTGTAAACTGATGTCAGCTGTAATTAAAAGAATATTATATTTTTGCTGGGTTTCTGTCTTAAATTCAATATAATGAAGATGTGACCGAAGGTCCTTAAGGTAGAAGACAGTTTGACACAGTGAAGATGCAAAGAAATATCAAAAGTAAGATGTTACTATCACTGATGTACCATTATGAGTACGGCTAATATACTGAAAACACTGATGCATTGAAGTGCATGCTTTATTATGGCAGCTGGTCAAAACTAGACTATAAAAAACTTTGTAGTTGTCCACTGGATTCATTCAACTGTGATGAGATTTCCAGTTCAAGACGAACTGAGTCTGCATAATTCTCAGACCAGTGTGTTTCAGTGTGGGGACAGTGTTCTTTGCGGTGCATGTCTCTCTGCTTTCTCCAATCATAAGCTGCATCTCTGTAGCCAAAGAGCTGATAATCCTTCTTCAGGTTGTCCTTATTTTGTAGTTAAATTCATTCGCATGCAATACTAGTAATTCTGGATTCCTGTTGAGCAATTTTATAGCACTTAAGCATTATAGCATTAAATATAGGTTCAGTTTAGGCTATTTGGGGCAATTGTTAACTTACTCAATAGCTAACTCAACAATTGTTGAGACGAGTGTTGTGTGGCCCAAATATAATGACAAACATTGCAACTGGCTTATACAAGGTGTACTTGTGTTTTGCATTGAGGCAGGCAAACTTACCTGTCCATTAATCAGATCAAATGTGGCCCATAAAAACAAGGTGAGGAAAATTCTTTACAATGTAGTTTTTTTAAAAGCTAGGAGTAGGTGTGCAGCTACCTTTTCTTAATATAGCATGGCTTTTTTAAGGTTTTGTGGTTGATTTTTTTTTTTCAGCTAAGTGTGAAAGTACCATTTATAGTCCAGCCATTGTTAGTGCAGTACTGTTACTGAGCAAACATACAGAGGTATGACCAAAGCAAATGTAGGCTGGCATTGTGTTTATTTGTGTTTTATAGGAAAACCCCCCTACAAATTTTAAGTTCAGGTTTAAAAGAAATGAAATGTTGTGCAGCATAATTGTAGTTGTGATCATTTGCATTTTAACACTTTCATATTCCTTGCCTGTTTTTCTAATGCACAGAAGCATCCACGTACACAGAGACAAAGATAATTCGTTTGTATTTATTGTGTTTTGCTGAAAATGGTTTTGTAAATTGGAACAGATTGTGTTTGTGTGTATGTGCGTGTCTGCGTGGTGACTGTATTTCTTAACCTCACACACCGGTGTTGGGAGCATCACACACAGTTTCACAGCGTTATCTAATTTATTGCTCTGTTTATCTTCCCATCTGTTTGGCCTGACAGGACTGCAGAGAGTTTTCAGGGGCTGCTAGTTTCTGAAAGCAGGTGTGAGTGTGTGTGTGTGTGTGTGTGAGTAATACACAGAGTCTGTGGTATGCATGCATGTTTTAGGTCGCTATGCAACATAACTGTATCAGAGTCACCTCGTGAAGATATTGTGCTTCGGTGATCAGTGATTTGTCTCAGTGTTAGTGAACTATAAGATTGTCACTCTGTTCTCTATGCAGAAAAAACACAATGGTGGAATTCCAGGCATGCTGATATCAACTTCCTGTGTTTTCAACCCATCGTTAGGTACAACTTCCTGCCTGATGAGATCGAGGATCAGTTTGACATTCGCTAACTGAGAAATGATGCTTATGTTATGCTTACACACTCATTTATTTGACCTGCAATGTGTCCGTGGAAGGTGAGGGGAAGGTGTTTGATGTGTTTTCCCAACATTCCAGGCTTTTCCAAATACTATGCCCCAAAAAGCAGACACATTCCTTGGTCTCACGGTCGTCGTCACGGGCCTATTGTTCTGAGGCCAGGGAGTGAGTGACGGACACATTCATATTAAGGAGAAATGGAAAGTGGTCGAGATAAAGCACCAAGGTATGTTTTGATGGAAAGACCAGACTGCTTAATGACGGGGGTATTTGTGTGGTCATCTGTGTACGGCATGTCCCTGTCCTTTGTCGTACATAAAAACAGGAAAATAAAAGTGCTGGAAGGTGTAGGGGGTGCGTGGCGCCACACGGATGCTTGTGTAACCTCCTGTTCAAAGGCCTCCTGTTTCCTTACTACTGTGCATTGGGGAATCTGAGCCATACCGGAGCACACATACTTATGACATGTCTTTCAAAGCAGCCTGGACATTAAGATAGGTTTTGTCAGTCTTACTTAAGTCTCCATATTTGCAATCTAGATGATGAATGAGTGCGAGTAAAAGAATATCTCAGAAGGATTTTAACTTTTTACACAATTTTCCCTTGTTTGGAGCAACCAAATGGAACTTTTAAAGCTTTTAAAGGAAAAAATGAAGACTTTATTGAAAACTTAATATCGCCTAGTTTCTGTAAATATATGTATTTAGCATGTGGCTAAAACAAATTCAATCATAATCCTAGCCCTAGTTGGCCAGGTGGATGTAAATAAGATTAGAGCTGCAGCTAGTTCTGCATGGTTGCACTCTCCCAAAGGTCCCCACATGTTTGAGTGCCTGATTCCACATGCACTAACCTTATGAGGGTCACAAATTCACTAAATTTACCCAGACTTTGTGAGCTATAACCCTACTGAACCACTATAGTTTCAGCATGTGTTTTTCTGTCAATCTCCCAAGTCTATCAGAGCGCTAACTTACAGCCAAAGCAGCTCTGAATCCTGACATAACTAGCATTATGAAACAGGATGGTCAACATTTGGGTCATGATGTGTTTAATTTGCATTGAAGCATTTGTCAGGTTTTGGGTCATGATTGTTCATTTATTAGTTCCAGTGGCTGTGTGCTAGTTAGGTAATTGTGTTGTTGAGACCTAACAAGCCATAATGTCCTTTAAGGTCAGTCAGTCAGCTATGAGCAGTCCCGTGCCTTTAGTCCCTGTCCCTCAGAGACACTCCCACTCTGCTACGGTGGCTGACCCCTCTATGTATGTGAATGAGCATGAGCACTGCCTGTGTGTGTGTTTGTCGCAGTCAACAAGCCTCAGTGCACGACTCTCGCCTGTTTTTGTTTGAAGGCTGCGGGGGGTTGGGGAGCTGGGTGGACACCCATGGAAAAACAGGCATCCCACCTCAATGCTGAATTTGGAGATGGCCTGCTGTTTAGGAATAGTATGTCTGTGCAAGATTGACGGTGTTAGAGAGGGGGGCTGGAAGTAATGCACGAATCACTGAATCACATATGGAGATACAGAGCAAACCCTTACATAACTGTCATTTTTTACAGGCGCAATAATATGAGATCCAGCATAGTGATTTATGCAGTTTAAGGCAAAACGACAAGGTCTTATTTATATGCACTCGCAGCCACATTCAAATAATCCCTTTAACCCTATACTATTCAGGACATTAGTATTTATTATGTCAAGTAATTCCTTGTATGACTGATATGATGACAGGAGCCGTGATGACTTATTGGCTCGATAATTCACAAACATACCAGTGCAGCTGGCTGCTGAGTTGGGGAGTTTTTGCAGCCAAGAGTCAAGTGGGTTATTGTGAAAAACAAACTACAGAGAGAGTGTGTGCCAGAGTTCACCTACAGTACATTAACCCCCACATTTTCTTCTCTTGCTTTTTTTTCCCCTTTCTTCCTCTCACACTTTACAAACCCCACTGTACATTTCTAAATATACAATGTAAGGTGTAAATGATGCCTCTGAAGAGTTGGGGGTGTTTTAGGTTAAACAGCTCAGCTACATATATAAAAAATAAACTAAAGTGATAAGTTTATGAACATTTCTGTATCCAGCCTTAAAATCCCACATGAATGAGGATAGTCTCACAGTCTCAGCACTCAGGTCCAAACCAAATAATATGATCTATTTTCTTTTCATCTATCACCATCATCCAGTCAATATTTAAACTACCCATGCTTTACTGGGTGGCTAAACTGATGATACTCCTGATTAATGTTATGTCATTTTGTTGACAACAAAATGAAGCTAGCATAAAATGACTAAAACTGCAGTTTGTTGAACTGAAAGATGAGCGCAAACATGTACAAAACAAGTTTATAGCTCAATTTAGATAAAAGGTTTTGGTCTGCATTTTCTTTCTTCATAACTGACTCATTGGGCCTCAAAGTTATAGCTTATTAAATACTGAGGTGAGAGCTAACTATGTTGCTAGCCGTCTGCGAGGCTTCACTTCAGCTAACTGTAGCTGCTGTTTGAGTTGTCTTTTTGTCCTTTATAATGCAATTTTTAAATGCTTTTTTGCATTTACTTGTATGTTACTTACTGCTTATTATCAGGAACCTGTGCCAAAAACATTCAGGCTATGCATATTGCTAACCAAGCTATTGCTAACTGATAACCAGCCAACTGTCTGACCAGTCTCCAGGCTCCAAAGGGCCAAAATGGTGATGGCCATAAAATGAAAGGTCAAAGTGACATTATAGCAAGTAGTCTATGGTTTAGTAATTTTTAGTAATTTCATGTGCTGATATGCTAAATTAAGATGCTAAACATGATGAAAAGAAATGGTACCCGCTTAGTATTTGGAGGAAACACGATCATTTAAGCATGTAGCACTGGGCTTAACTGCCTTGAATTAATGAAAGGGAATAAAAACACATACAAAGAAGTTTCAAGCACATTAGCTTCTTATACCCATATGAAAATAGCATTATGTGGCAAAGTTATCACAAACATTCTCTTTTTTTCACCAGATCAGGTAAGAAAACACATTTTTTTTTAAAAAGTAACAGTTGTCAGATGGTATAAGGAACATACATACAAGCCTTTTTTCAATAACTTAAAATGTTCTGACTAAATTATCAGACACAAAATAGCATCAGTGTGTTTCTACATGCTGTTATTAAGGGAAACAGAAAGGTCATAAAAACAACAACATTTGTAAAGTTTATCTTAGTTTTCTTGTTTTAATAGCTAACCCTTGAGTTACTGGTTTTCACTCTTTTAGTTGCCTGTAAATGAAATCAAATATAATGTGTTGTAGGCTCCCTACAGAAATACACTCTGGGGTTAGGACTTTAAAATGAATGTGACTGCTTGCACCAAAACATATCTGGTGGGGGAGAGACATTTCTGTATGAAAGGAAAAAAAACTCAAATAAAGAATATAGATGTGAGCAGAAACACATACTGAACCACACATGCATACAAAACAAACATGCACGCACTATTTGACACTGAAGCTGAACAGGATACTGGGGTAAACTGACAGGATTAGTTTTTTTATGTTCTGTCCCTTTGTTTAAACCTCACAGTTATTATGACACAATGAATCTTTTTTTTCAGACTCTATCTCAGCCACATGTTGTTTGCAGTATTTTTTATAGAGAGTAGTAACAGTAGCAACAAATAAATAAGAAACACAGCACACAGTCAGGTCACAAGCCAATTCTTGTTTCACCCGTGACAATACTTTGAGACAAGGAAACCTCATTAATGCAAAACTATATTTTTTCTATACCCATATAAGTGTAATTCCAGTGTTTGCAATGAGTTACATAAAATTAAATACGGTTTGAGAGAGACCATCATTTTTAATGAGCTAATAATTGATATCACACATGGAAATTCTTCTGCTCCTGCAGTGTGTTGACGATATAATAATCTCTGTTATTATATTATCCAATTAGAAAAACAGCTAAGTTAGGCTTTTTTTGGTTAATTTTTACACCAGATATACTCCTTATTCTAATCTGACTGTGATTATCAAACAATCCAGGCTTTCAGCAACAAACTCCTTATACACTTGGTTCTGTCAACATTTAAGTGCAGTTTCTGTCTGCTGATATCAAGACAAGGTTCCAAGGAAACTTTTGAAATTGCACTATTTTATACAGTTCTACAGCAATGCAGTTTCATATCCCCACAGGCACAGTGCTTGCACACAGTTCATCAGTCTTTGGGTGCCACTTGTTGCTTCATACCATCAACTGTCAAAGAAGCAAGCATTCTCTGGAGAAGGTCCACCTTTTCTTTACACTCCATTTTCTTGTTTCCCCCTCCTCTGTTACTTCCAGTATAGGTAGAGGTTCACCAGACAGTCATTAGTAGTGTTACTGAGATCTCACAGGACGAGCAGGTTACTGACAAATGAATAAATACTTGTACAAAGGGAGTCCATTTGGGTCTTCTCTGGGTTATCCACAAAATGCACCATGTTCTCTTTGTGTCCCTGTGGTAGAAATACAGGAAGATGGGATTACAATAAGAAACATAAAGCAGAATTATAATTGTTTTTTGTTTTGTTTTGTTTTGTTTTATATATTCTATGAACGAACCTGGGTTTCTTTTAGTTCTACATCAGCATTGCTCTCATGGCTGCTTTACTAATCCGTCTGCGATTCTTCCTCATCCTTTTTGTTTTTTGTGGTCGAGTTGGGAGTCTGGGGGCCGTAGGAGCCAATGGCTTTTTTGTGGTAGTTGTCGATGTTGTTGTCTCTGTAAGATGGAAAACCAAGAGTGTAAGAGAAAATTACAAAAGCTGTGCATAACATTGGCTTGAACAGGCTTCAGTCGAACTCAGCAGATCAGCTGATGTCAGTGCCAGCTCACTTTGATTGTTTACTCAGTTGTTGGCAATCTGTAGGCTGCTTTGCAACCCAACTTCATCCGAGCTTTTCCTTTACATGCTGTGTCTTACTTAAAAAGTAATCAGCCTTTTGCTTTAAATGTATGCACAGGGAGGGGGCCTCATGCTTTCCACATGTGTGCATGAACTATGGGACAGTCCCACAACTGAACCATAACATAAATATGAATTACTGCAAATGGAAATATCTTTTTTGACTGAAGTGGTCCTGACTCTACATACAATCTTGTGATAAAATATACTCTTAAGTAATTTAAACACACTGTTTTAGTTAATTGAACAATTTACTTAATTCTGCACTGTTTAAAAAAACGTTTAATAATCTCTGTTACCTGGTTTCTGAGTTGTTTGGTGACTGGGATGATGTTTACCATGTAGGTGCCGACTGACTGTCTCCTTTTCTTTCTGCCTTTCTTCCTCTCCTCGCTTCATCTGCTGCTGTCTCAGTATTTCCTTTTCTTCATCCAATTTTTTATGGAGAAGCAGAAGCTCTTTTCTCTCCTCCTCCAGTTTGGCTTCCGCAATCTGTAATATCCTCTCCTCCTCTGGAGTCTCGTTTTCTCTTTGTCGCGCCAGCTCACGGGGTTCTGGGTTCGGTTCTTTGGTAGGTCGGAACCTGCCCCTAACTGTGTCAGTGACGGTTTCCTCGGTAGGGCTGAAATTTGTTTCAGGAGTAACATGCTGAGAGAATCCACTTGTGTGAATCTTTGGGTATTTGCCTTTGTCTTCTTGCCACAATGGGCTGTGTGTTTGTGTCTCTTTGTTCTCCTCGTTAACTTTGATGTGCAACCCGTTCCCACCTTCTACCAACTTGTTCTTCACCTTAGTTCCAGCTGTATCCACTGAGGAGGCAGTTTTGTTGGCATCTGAGACCACGCCATCCTTCCTCTCCACATTCTCAGTTTCTTTAGCCTCAACAAGCTTGCTGATGTTATGAGCCCAGTGTGGAGCAAAGAGAACGGCTTCTCCAGAACGAGAAGTGCCCTCCCCAGCAAGACTGTATCCTTCTCCGGGCTGAGTGAAGGTGTCTCCTCTGGGGCTCCATTGCTGCTTCAGGAGATCCTCCAGGTGGGCCCTCTGGTTCTGTTTGAGCTCATCCAACTGATGAAGCTCATCCTTGGAATGCACCTTAACCTTGTCAGAAAAAAAGAAACAAAATTCATTTTACTTTTATTTTATCTACAGCTATACATGCACTGCAGTGCACAGGCTACAACACAGTCATGCTTGGAAATAAAAATTCTATTGCTTTGCACTGTTATGACAAAGAGGCAAAAGTAAGTGTTAATTCTGAAAAATAATGATAGTAAGCAGAGTTTCGGTCCACCTGTTCGTGTGCATGACCTTGGCTATGCGTCTGGTTTCGATGCAGGTAGCCGTGCTGCCTGCGAGAGGATTTCTTCTTGTGTGGTGGAGGACGAGGAGCAGTCTGACATCTGCACTCCACGTGATCCACAACTGACACCACTGCTTTAGCATAAGTGGGTTTCTTGTTGATGTACTCGACCTTCATAACCTACGGAGTTTGAGAATAAGATTGGAGGAACATGAAACAATTCTGAGAACAGCACTAACGGATGTGCGTGTGTATACATGTATGTGTATATAGCTCTGTGTGATGTTGTTTACCTGCAAGTATCTTTTGTGTGTGACAACAGGAACACACTGCAAGCTTTTAGTGTTGCAGCAGCCAGAGCAGCGCTGCACCTCAACACAGGGTGGCCATAGCAGGAAGTTAGCATTGCTCCGGTCCAACATTGCCCTTGTGACCTCAACCACTTCTGTTCGAACTTTACACAGAGCCTGCTGGGCCGGCTGGGCATCTGAGCCATGAGACACAAGTGAACATGAGTATTAGGGCAGAAGTGGTGTTATATTAGTATTTCAAACATCCATCCAGCACTAAATTCATTTTTTCTTTTTTTCCAGCTTGCTCATTCATCCACTCTAATAAGACTACCTTGTTTTCATGTCTGTTTATGCGATAGTAAAACACAAGCTCCTGTCTGATCACCTGTCAGTACTGCGTATTAGCACTTCAGCAGCTTGTAGACCTGAAGCACGAAGCTTCAAAGAAGAAAATATGCTAGAACTTCTTCTCATCAAAAGGCAAAGATTAGCATAGGCCCATTAGTGTCTCTCAGTCAACCAGACGGTTAGTGATTAATGACAAGTAATTCAGATATCTGCTTTATCATAATAATGAAAAAAAAAACACTTAATGGGAAGGGTTTTAACCGTATCATTGAAACCATACTTGTCACATTAATCACTTCACAGGAAACTTGACTGAACACTCAGGGAAGGGACTCCTCTACTAATGAGGATTGAGTACTGTTACATTCATGAGGAAAATCTGCATGGCGGCACTAAAACCTTCTATTCATCTTGTATGAATATGAACAGAGTAACATTTATCCACACTAGGAAGAATTTCTGTGAAGATCTGAAGAGCCACATACAGATAATAAGTCTTTTTGTCATAACCTCTTGAGAACTGAGGAGAAAATTATCTACTAGTGTAACTTTTTTGTGATTTTCTGCCTCTTTGGAGCTAAAGAGGACACCCAAACACGTGAGGCGTGATTGAAGAGGCCAAGATGTCCTCTATTAAGCACATTAGGACTTAGTAGGGTAGCTCAAATAAGTCAAAAGATAAAGGCCAAAAACAAATGTCAATTACAGAGGCTTGGTTTCAGGCATTCACAATACATTCACATCTCAAATACAAAAAAATATCTTCTAAAATATATTGATGGGAATAAAAAGGAAGTTTGGCTGAAGTTTTGTGGGGGGGTTAAGGGCTCACCAAGGCTCCTTGGTAGTCTGTGACCTCCATTGGCTGCAGAAGTCTCGTCTTCCTCATCTGAAACAGAAACCAAAAACAGCATTTGACTTATGTCCCAGACAAATCATGAGCATTTCATTTTTTTGTATGGGGCGTCATATATATAATCCAAGGGCTTTTAGCGCCCTCTGTATGTGGAGAGATAAAACACGAGCTTGTGTCAAAAGAGCGGGGAGGAGGATGGGGGCATAGCTGATGTCACATTTGAGTCACAAAATAAGAGACCCAGTCCGAGGGCAACCAGTTGTTACACTTTTATAAATCTAATAAATCTTCTGTGTGTTTCTGTCGTCATGTACACTGATGTATGTTTTATTACAGGTGTGGTTCCTTATTTCAATTAGTGTAAAAAAAATGCAATAATTACCACTTATTACTGTATTTCTGTTGTAATAGGAAATATGTGTTTTTTTCTTACTTGCGCAACATTTTGTTCTTTATTTTGAAAGTGCAACATAACCTCAGCTTTCTCAAACCAACTTTAATCTGTGCTAATGTGTTAAGAAAACCACTTCTCATTGTGACAACAACAATGTAAGAGTAGCATTTTTTTACTTTAATGTCAATACATGTTTAGGGAAGAGCTACAGATATTTTAAAAAGGGCTTTGGGTTGCACTGGATGACTGGGGTTTGTGAACAGAATAAAAAAATGTTTTAGGGGAGCTTAATCTGGTTGTGTGAAAATGGTATTCAATTTACGACGTCACTAAGGCTGGAGTAAAATTGCAGACAGCAACTTGGACTCTGGCTTCAAAGCATGTATCAGTAATAATATTAGAAAGCTCTGGTCTTTACCTACGGAGTCAGAGAACAGCAGCATCTGAAGGTCCTCTATTGAGGAGATGGGGCTGTTTCTAACCAGCTCCACCAGGGCTGCAGGCAGAGCGTCCTCCTGAAACACAGATATATAAGAGACCTTAAGATGCACTGTTCTGGATAGTTTGTGAGATTAAAAAAAAACACAGAAGAAGGCGACATTGAGACATATCATCACCGGCACACCTGGCTACTGATGAGATTTTTCCACATCTGTAACATCTGATCTGGGGAAACTGTTGCCAAAGTTACCAAAGCAAAAATCCAAACACCAGATTGAGAACATGGATGTGCTATCACTCAAAATCTACAGTTATGTGAAACAGAGATCATTATGCACAATAAATTAAAAATACAGCTGAACCTTTGACCCCTACAATGAGGGCATCTGGTTACTCTGTTTAGCTGCTTGCATGCTGGCATGGTTTGAGAGACACATATTAGCACAGTTCTCAGTGATTGCCTTCATCCTATGATAAAACATCATAAATTTCAGGGTGCCCACTTTCCCCACCCATCACAGTCACCGAATGATTTGATATTTATGAAGACATCCTTGGAAATTCGCAGTCTCCAATTTGCAGCTCACTTGAACACCTAGAATTTAGAGCAACATGTTATATGGGGTTTCCTCCCCCATCACCAAAACACCAAATGAGGGGAAAATGGTCTTCGATCCCTGCAGTAGACGTAGAACCACTGAAGTTGTTTGGTGGCACACATAGTCGCTCCTATGTGATTAAACTGATGCATGTATAAACTGTATTCATGTATAAAATCTCAAAAACATTGACTGGGCTTTTAAACACTTCTCTGCTACATTATTACTCTTACTGTGTACTCATAGAAAGGTAATTCACCACACAGTTCAATGTTATGACCATGACACAGAAACAGGAATATGGAGCTGTTTTCTAGGAAAACGGTGGATCTGGGCAAATATTTCTATAGTATTAAACCATAAAACCAAAAACAGTCCCACATTGTGAGTCCATGAATTTAACCCCTCTAGTCATTAATGGGTAAGAGACAGCTAAGGAGGGGGGGGGGGAGAATTAACCAAAGCGGACACACAATGGTCACTAAGAGCACGGTGAATGACTATTGGCGTTGTGTCTTCTCATCTGCTAACATTTAGGGGTCAAAGGAGCAAGGAAGGAGTCAGGAAGTGGGGGAAGGAGTGATACAGAGAGGATGAGAGAAGGGAGGCGCATCTGAAAAAAAGGAGGAATAATAGATGAATTAAAGCTGGGCTGAAACGGACGAGGATCAGCCGTGGGTCGAGGCACTTCCTTGCATTGATTTCAGCGCTGTAAATGTGGTTCACTTGCTTTGGAGTCTCACGCTAGAATGGAACCGATGAAAATGACCAAAAGAGCAAATGCGTCGGGCATTAAGTGAACCATGTTCAGTTCAGTAAATGTTACACAAAGCCATCTGGAAATAAACTTTAGTTTTAATACTGATTAATTTAAGGTCTGAAGAAAATAATGAATCCCAGCGGGATGCAGGTTTTAGAAAAAGGAAACGGCCATTCATGCATGAGTATTCTCACCCTGCCCATACTGTTTGCCACTGACATTCCCCCATTGTTGCTCAGATTTTCAGACAGTCAAATAATACAGCAGGGAAATGCCTGCTGTATTACACTCGCATCTCTGCTGCGGAGCTGCCGATGCCCCTGAGGAGTCGTCATGATTATTTCCTCCTTTTGCCAATGGAGCAAAGCTGCCTGCTTGGCTAATTGTGTCTGATGTTAATTATAGGACGTGTGCTTTTGTTCACGGTGGTGCCTGCTGTCATGACAATTTGTGTCTAAGCAGGAAATATTAAATAAACATTTCAGTTCTGATAAACAAAGCAGATGTAAACAGATGCAAACTGGACTGGCAGACTATGTAAACACACTCTGATAATGATTAATGAGCACCTATGGCATGAAGGTGAATTATCAAGGTTAAGAAAAGCGTTTTTTATAGGTGCATTTAATATTTCCTGCAGGCAGAAGCATAAAAATAATAATAATATAGAGCTGAATGTCATTTTAATACAAACAGCAGCACCTTATTCATTCTGAAAAAGGATAAAAAGCTAACGTTTCTTAAAGAAAAGATTAAACTATCTCAAAATCCAGCTGTAGCTAGTCTGCAGTAGTTAGCCTGTTTGGAATAATTAGCTTCTGCTGACAAAGCATTTGTTTTTGACAGCTGCTAATCTACAACACAAAAGACCACTCCTGCCAAACTGTGTGTTATACCTGAACTATTCAGGTATGTTTTCTCCCTTTTTTCTGCTAATTATGGCAGAAAAAAAACACAAGACTTGACATACTGCAGTATTTATCACCTGAAGAAACTCCCCATCCCCTGGAGAACTCATGGACACATTGAAGAATGCCAGGTACAGGCAGCGGCTGCAGTGGGCAGAGGACGAGAGGGAACATCTAATTGTACATAATTAGAGGGTCGAGTTTGCTGCCGGCGAAGCAGCAGCAGCAGCTATAGCACATGTGTGAGGTTTCACATGTAGTCCCTGAAAGTATGCTGACACATGCTCAATATGGGCATGTGCCAGAAACTGTGAGTTTAATTAATTCCACTGTCATAATTGGCATCAGCACTTGGAAAGGGGCCTGATACAATTTAGCTAAAACTAAATTCCGTTCTGGTGGTCCTTGGCTAGGTGCATATGATCATTACAGCTTTATACGTGACAACCACTTTATATACCAGCAGATTTTTTTCTGGTGAAGTTCTTTTAATAAAGACCATAATTGAACATACAGTCTCTATTATTTCCCCAGCTGCCGTGCCATAAACTTTAAAATCACACGTGGGGAATTTCCAGGTTGTATACCTTCAAAGCCTTTTGTGACTTTCTCCTTCAAAAATACTGTCAAAGTCTTCTTTTACATGTGGTGCCTGCAGATGCAGTGGAATGGAAAGACAGCTTGACGACAGGAAAGTCAACCGTCATCTTTAAATATACATTTAAAATGTACTTTTATGTGAGGCAGTGATAATGATGGAAGATTACTTATATGTACACGAGTGGATGAAAGAAGGAAAATGAAGCAATAAAATGAATGTTTAAAGATTCAGGGGCTTTACACGATAAAGATATACTGCAGTTCAGCATTTGCAAAGCTATTGTGTTTGTAACTTATTTTCTTTTTACAGACATGTGCATAAGTTCTTTGAAAAGAGAGTCCTGACAGGAGAACGTATACCTCTCCCATATGGGCTTCTTTCATTGGCTCCCTGTTAAATCCTTCTTACCACATACAATGTCTTGAATAACCAGGCCCCATCTTGTCTTTAAGACCACATAGTACTGTATTACTCTAATACAGCACTTCACTCTCACACTGTGGGCTTAATTGTGGTTCCTAGAGTGTTTAAAAGTAAAATGGGAGGCAAAGCCTTCAGCTTTCAGGCCCCTCTTCTGTGTAACCAGCTCCCAGTTTGGATTCAAGAGACAGACACTCTCTTTATCAAAAACTTTCCCTTTTGACAAAGCACATATTTAGGGGTGGATCAGGTGACCCCGAATCCTCCCTTAGTTACGCTGCAATAGGTTTAGGCTGCCAGGGGCTTCCCAGTGATGGGCCAAGCGTTTCTTCTTCGCTCACCTTTTTAACCCTCTATGTGTTTATACAGCCCTCTACATTAAATCATTAGCTAATATTAATCTCTGGCTCTCTTCCACAGTGTGTCTTTTGTCCCGTCTTCCTCCCCTCACCCCCAATCTGTCACGGCAGATGCCCCCCCTCCCCTTATTTGGTTACACTGGAGGTTTCTTCTTGTTAAAAGGGAGTTTTTCTTTCTCATTGTCGCCAAGTGCCTGTTCACAGGTAGTTGTCTGATTGCTGGGGGCTTCTCTTTATTATAGTGGGGTCTTAAAACTTTACAATATAAAGCTCCTTGAGTAGACTATTATTATGATTTGGCGATATGCAAGTAAAACTGAATTGAAATTGAATAAGTTATTCTGGGAACAAACTATACCAACACATCAGTTCTATGGCAGAAAACTAACTCAATCAGTTGTGCCTTTTTTCTTGCTTTTGTAAAAACATTGTTTAAGCCTTCACTTCCCACGATTGACTTGTTAACTATTTGTGCTTTAACCCCATTGACATGACATGAATTGCCTGGGTCAGAAACACAGATGAAATCTGCATAGAAGCAGAAGACTGATAAAATCAGACTTCATATCAGTGAAGGAAAAGTGGACAAGATTTGTTCTAAAATGAACATAATATTGTTGTCTAGGTCAAGTGAGTCTTGACCTAGATGAGACCCGTGGTTAAGTTTAGTCTTCCTGCTTGAATTCACCAGATTTTATCCATCTTTTCTGCCTTTATATATTCACTGTTGTTGGCTGATTTTCACCTGTTTCTAAAACACTGTTTTGGCATAGAACATGGTGCAAGAGAAAAGAAGGTGTTGATTAAAAAAGGAAGCAACATATAATCATAAAAACAAAAGTCACACAAAAAAGTACAGAAACAACAAATGTGGTCTCTGTAGGATGGTGTTAATGTATGTTTGAATGCACCAGCTGCCTTTAATATCTGGAACAGCAGCATCTGTAAATGCATCACTTCACCACGTGGTGAAGCATCCAGCTGTAAATGAGCCTATCATGGCAGCGCCCGTTTCCTTGCACATCACCCACAGAGGTTGACCCCTGCATGTGTCTGCCCCTGGGCATCCATTCATAACGCCAGTTAATGGGGAGGAATAACAGTTATCTTCTGTATGAAGAGAAGCAGTAAGAGAAAGACTGAGTCTGAAGTTGGAGGTTTTTTGTTTGGCTGTTTTTTTAAAGGCGGACATGAGCTTAAAAAATAATGACACAGTTTTAACAGCATGTGCATTGTAGTTGGAGTGATATGCTTACTCAAAATTTAAAAAAAAACAGACTACAAGAGTCAGAGCCCAATGTTAGCCAGAAAATATACAGTAGGCTACCGCATATAGGCCCATTAATATATTAATATGCTTCGAGTATTATATACATATATACTACTATTCAAAAATAAATAAATAAATAAATAAATAAATAAATAAATAAATAAATAAATAAAGACTCCACAACACTGTTGTGTTTTATATCCTGCGTAAACTTTTAGATAAACCTTGCGGCTTCACTCGTTGGTGCTACATTTGTTTTATAGTGCTCTAATTTCAGAGGGACCACTAATCCCTCTTAAGTGTCCGAAGAGGTTTCTAGAACTTTGATTTGAACTCACCTCGGCCACGCCAAACCGCAGACACACCGCTAGTAACGCGAGCAGCAGCTGTACCCACGAGCTCATCTTGCTGCCCAGCCTCGAGCCTCTTCGACGGACCGGGCATTTATGGAAGCGCGAGAGAGCCTCTCTCCTCAGCACTGCGCGCGGGGGGACAGCGGCTCGCCCTGCGAGACTGCGCGCGCGTGCGAGCGTCCGTCCACACCGCGGTCCCACAGCAGAGGTGTTCCCAAAAGATGAAGAACAATCCGCTCAGCTTGCACCAAACCTTTTTTTTCCAAGTTCCTCTCGAAATATATAAAAAAAAATTGAGAGCGACAGTAAGCCTCCTACTTTTAGTTCACTCTTCAAAGTCCGGTTTAGTTCACTCAGTTAAGTTCACCTTGATGCGCTGAAGTGTCCGTTTTTGGCTGAAAACTCAGATGAAAAGAATAAGACCATTTTAGCAAAATAAATTTCCAAGCAATTAAAGTCTACACTTTAGAAAAATACTTTTTTTTTTAAAAAAAATCCAAGAGATTTAGAAAGGAAGCAAAGTCAAAATAATTCCAAGTGTGTCCCAAATTAATTTCTTTAAAAAAAAATTTTAAAAAAGCAATAAATTACAAATCCATTTGAATTTTCATTTCCCGACAGTCAAGAGTCTTTTCCTCTTTAACCGTAACGCGTCCCAAAAGTCCAGCTTAGAGGCAGAAATAACGTCGCAGGAAGATAGTTTGCGGTTCTCTTCTTCCAAGGAGTCTTATCAACAAGCAAACCGCTGTGTGGCTCGGTGCGTCTCAGCCCCTGGACCTGACTGATTACGCAGCCGTGTTGTTGGTGGTGGTGAAGGGGAGAGCAGATTTTCACGAGTGTGCGGTATCTCTGCTGCCCCCTGTCCGAAGAAAAGTCGATGCAAGCCAAATTTATCCACTAACAGCTGCCTGGCAGCAGCCACTCTAAGAAATATTTCCTCAGCCATGAATCATTTATGCAGATATTTGTAAGGCTGGGCCATTTTTCCTCCTTCCTCACATGAATCTTTACAACGCACCTTAAAACTTCATTAACTGTAGAAAGCAACCAAAGTAACTGAGTACATTTACTCAACAGCAGTGGTACACCACTTTAACTATTGTTTCCACAGTCCATGGTGTTTTACTATATTTAATCTAAAGCTATGTGCACACGTTCATTTTCATATTAACTTGTTTTGCGCATAATCACAATACAAAGTGTCTTGTGCATTATTATTATTATATAATATGAAGTGCATTATATAAAGTAAAAGTTACAGTCTGGTACTTCTAAATGGATGCATTAATAAGCTATTAATGTCCCACTAATGTCATGTGTGAGGAAAATATGAAGCCCTTGCTGTGATACTGCCCATCACTGTTCCTATTGCTATTTTTCTAAGAAATGTGTGATTTTTCAAAATGAGCCATCAGCAAATACCTGTAATTATCCCCCCAAATTTTGCTTTTGGGCCTAGCAAAATATTATTAACATACGGACAGGTTCTGATCAGCTGTGTTCAGTTGGTTTATTGCATATCTTGACTGCTGTGTCTTAACAAACCTTGTAGTTGTAAGCTTCTTTCTATTGAATTTCGTCACATGAGCACCCTGTGAGGTCTAACTACTGTCGCACCTGTGTTAAAATTTTGTGTATAAGCTGGTATATTTCTCTCAGCTGTCCAGTTCAGTTCAGTTCAGGCAGGTTTTTTTTCTTGTCTGCTGGGTGTATCAGCATCTGACAGTTTCAAGGCTGGCATATTGTGTACATATGCGCATGCACTGCAGCCCCCTGCAACTTCAAGGCCCTTCCCACAGCTCTGATGGTAGAGATTATTATCAGAAGGTAGGCCCTGCCCACAGCATCCACTGCCTTGACTCCAATGCAACCTAGTGATTGAGACTAAAAACTTATAGGTGAGGATTTACTGAGGCCACAGATCATTGAAGCACAAGCATCATTTTCCAAACGATTTCCTGCGCAATCAAACTTCTTTTCGCAAGCAGAGGAGTCACCTCCCTCTGGTCATTAAGGTTAAGACACTTTTGAAGTAGTATCACTTTTCAGTCCCAGATGCTACCTCAGTCTTTTAAATGGTAAATGGCCTGTATTTATATAGCGCTTTACTAGTCCCTAAGGACCCCAAAGCGCTTTACATATCCAGTCATCCACCCATTCACACACTGGTGATGGCAAGCTACATTGTAGCCACAGCCACCCTGGGGCGCACTGACCGAGGCGAGGCTGCTGGACACTGGCGCCACCGGGCCCTCTGACCACCACCAGTAGGCAACGGGTGAAGTGTCTTGCCCAAGGACACAACGACCGAGACTGTCCGAGTCGGGGCTCGAACCGGCAACCTTCCGATTACAAGGCGAGCTCCCAACTCTTGAGCCACGATCGCCCCGTGGCTCAAGAGTGCAGTCTATGCAGTCTATGATTTTGATGAACAGATAATAAACCCTCACATCTTTAATATTGTTATTCCTTTTCTTATTGTTGATGCTGTAGATATGGTTGTTGTTGTTCATTTTAAGAGGACTAATATTTAACATTAGTTAACTGTGAAAAACTGAATGTTCCAATTATTTTTTAGCATCTGTGTAAAAAGAACAGTTATATCTATAACGAGGTACAACACATAAGTATGGGATATCATGCCTTAAACCATTTGCTGTGCCTTAAACCATGTCAGCACCTATGCATAACCCATATTCCTAATTTAGTGTGTTGTATAACAGACCTTTTGTGCAGATGCTTTGTTAGAGAGGTCATGGGGATAGTTGCCATGCCAACTGACTCCTCTTATCATCATCATCACCGCCACCAGCATCAGCGAGGTTTTCAGGAAATAAAAGGTGTTTCTAAATATCACAGGAGTTATTCTAAGATTTCTGACCTTTTGATGATCACTCGTGTTTAAAGGACATTTCTGAACAATGCCCGATTGGTGAGTTTGCAGGCCCAAAAATAGCATATCAGGTATAGATGACCTTTTTTAGACTTGTTATATTATTTGACAGAAGAAAAGAGCAAGTAAGTTTTTATATAATAGAAAACATGTCTAAAAGGGATAAGAACCATTTTTTCTTTGACTGAAGCAATCGCTGTATCTATGAATGCCCCTTACAGTTAACGAAGTCCTACAGGTCAGTCGTGGCCCTGTGAATAATAGGATGCCATTGTTTTTCAAACAAGAGTTGATGGAGGAAACAGCATGAGTTATGGAGCTATATTTACACTCGTTTCATATTCACACGTTTGGCCAAGGCTTCTGGCAGTACGAGGTAACAATTGTGACTTTGGATACAAGTGCAACGCAACACTCAGGAAATTGCAGTGACGTAAAGGAAAATTATCAAACTACATGCAAAAAGTTACTGCATATAAAGACGTAAGACACTGACTGTGTACACATCTGCTCAAATGTATGTGGTTACTTTGAAAAGCTGCTTTTCATCTAAAATAATAATTGATCAGTAATGTCCTAAATAGCGGAAACTAATTTAAATTACTTGTAATTTTTCATGGAATATCTACATATATATGCAAAAAGGCCCATTTCTGTCAGCCTAATAGCACCTGTGTTCCAGTGCCACATTGTGCTACATCATGTAAGCTTATCATGCTAAAATTAGAAAATCATTAAAAAAAATAATTTTTTCTAATCGTGTTATTTCAGGTGAAGAGGCAATAAATTTGGCTTGTTTAGTTTTTGTGATACGAGCTTTTCTAAAACTCACCAGGACCTTTTTGCTCTAAACACTCAAAGCAATTCCAGGAAGCTGTGGCAAAAAAAGAAAGACAAAAAAAAAAGAATTACAATTTCATACAACAGTCTGTGCTCCCTTCGGACAGTGCAAACTGGCTCTTACCAGAAAGAGAGAAGGCCCGCAATTCCTGAGAAGTGGAAGGTGTGCAGTTCAGCTATAAAAGGCAAGTACATCAGAGTGCACTGATTCAAAAAACAGATGCCTCAGAGGTTCTCAGTTGGCAGCGAAAACACTGAAAAACACAAGACACTGGTTTGAGGGTTTCAGTGTCAGCAGTGAAGAGACGACTCCAAGACCCTGGTCTTCAAGTAGGGAAACAAAAGCAAAAAGTCCAGATTGGCCAACACACGGAAAAGATTATTATTGGTTAAAGAACAGAGACTGGAGAGAGAAAGAGTGGAAAAGGTATTATAGATAGATGCTGATGAGTCTTCATTGGTGCCATAATCTGTAAAACATGGGCTGATTTCAAACTTTGGGAATCATTTGTCTTTGGTGAATATAACAGAAGAAGTTTAAGTCTTTTAATGTGTTTTTCCATTTCTGTTTGTTTTTGTGCTTCCTTTTTTTTTCAAGTATCAGCAATTATGCTAACACTTGACAACAAATTTTGAGTTCAGGTTGCTCCCAAAACATCAGTGTGTGCTGCTGTGTTTGGTTTCTAAGGAGAAGGGGGGAAAGGAGGTGGAGACTGAGAGGGAAGAGGAGGATGAAGGTGGAGGTGGGTGGGGGGCAGGTTATCGACTAGAGGTAGGGATTTTCCCACCGGCAGCATGCATTCATATCTGTCCACTCCAGTCTCTCTCTCTCTCTCACACACACACACACACACACACACCTGTGACTACACCTCAACATAATCCCACCATCCATCCATCTCTAGACAGGAGGTGACTTAATAAGAAACTTGTTTTTAAAAAAAGACTGTTTACACATCTGTATCAAAAGCCAACTGAGTGTAAGTGTTGATCCGTGATCTCTTACAGTTCAACACTTACACTTCGTGTGCATGCATGCAAACGCACTCTCTCATGTGCACGCGCAAACAGACGAAATGCATGCAAAGAGCATTCGAACATGTTAGAGCACCGTTGTGTGGCGCAGATCACACCACATCAAATATTGGCTCTTTCACACACACGCACGCACTCGCACAGAAAAACACACACACACACGCTTAGTGTCTCTTAGCTGGACACCATTTTCGCCATGCACAGAGGACAGAGGGGCCTCTATGTTTAAGAATGGAGTGAGAAATGACAGAATTCGCTCAAATATTTAAGCGCTTTTGAGAAGATCCGGAGAAGGTCACATCCCCTGAACTAATCTCCTGTCGGACAATAGCGGCATTTGATTTCATGCGTTTTTCTGCCGTTAGCTCTGAGGCTTCAGCGGTTAATTTGACGCAGTAATCGCATAGCTGGACCCCCCCACACACACACACACAAGTGTGCACACACACACACTTCCCCTGGTCAGCTTTTCAAGATGAAAAACATGAGTCTTGTCTATTTGTGTTGTACAAAAGGACCCAGGGTTTGTGCGTGTGTGTGTGTGCGCGCGCATGCTTTTGGCTGCTGTCAAATGCATCGGAGTCAAGGGGGGGAGACAAGTGACCCTCAATTAGTCGTGGGGATAGACTCTCGCCAGCGCGTGTCTCTGAGATACTGCAGGATCATATAGACTGAATGGACTGATGGGAAGTCAAGTATGACCGCTCACCCCGGCTCTCAAGTTTCCCAAATCCCAGAAGTGGGAATGTGGCTAAAAGAGATTAAAAGATGGGAGAAGGCTAGATGAAATGAAGTCCATGGGATGGGTGTGTAAAGCAAAGACATAAGCACAAGAAAATCTTTCTTTTGTTTTTATTTTGCTATATTATCCTGAAAGGAATGCCCGAGTGTGGCTGTGACCAGTTTGGCAGAGGAGTGGCAGCTCAAAGGAGCTTCGTGTCTTAGCAAAGATCTGTCAGCAACAGCTAACGAATGGGCCTGAATGGGAGAGAGAGTGACTGACAGTGAAGAATTGCTGGAATGCACTTCACT